CATGGTGGCTCTCCACACCAAAGCTGCATGCTCTTGCCTGCAGAGGGAGTAACGGCCCCATGCAACAGGCTCTCGCGCACCTCTCTCCCCCTAGTTGGAGCAGCTAACAAGCAGAAGAGCTGTAGGGCAGGGGTTTTGCCCGTCTTTATGCTTCCCTCCAAGAAAATCAACTGTATGAATGAAGAATTGAGGGTCCGAAAATGAAATAATATATTAGCATTTGTTTATCCCTTTGTATAAGTCTCACAAAAACCACCCACAATTTTGTATGAAAGAGTAAAGGGTAAAAGAGAAAAGCAAAGTGTATTTTCTGTATTTTCTACACATGGAGGGTTTTGCATGAGCCAAGTCAATGCAAGCTGACAGGAGCCTGAACAGTAAGTAGTCCCCGCCTGCCCAGAGAAGGTATGGATTTCCCACTTAGGCTTGTGAAGGCCATCAAACAGGAAGAAGAGGAAAAATCAAAGTAAATGGCTATTAGAGAAGAGGTCCAGCAAGACAGTCAACTTGTGCAAGTCCTGACTTAAAATGTGCTTGTTGGGTTTTCTTGGAAATCTTTACTATATTTGTGAGGGTTTATTCATTCCAATGTACTGAATGGCAACTGATGAAAAAACAAGCTTTTTTGGTCTCAATAACCATTAAGTTAGGTAGTCTCTACCACAAAGTGTCAGGAACAGTAGAAACAAAACACAAACTTTACAAGAGCTGTAGCAGATCAACTCAGGAGGGAGGTACTGGGATGCTTTCATCTACATGGGGGGAAAAAAGCAAACTTAGTGGCTTTTTAAATCATCATCTAAGTAGCAAAACAATTGGGAAGAGGGCCAAGAAGGTACTCTAGTGCAGCTTTCCCAGAGAAAACAGTATTCAGTATTGGTACTACAGCCAAGCTGAGATTAGGAAGAAAGAGTGTGGAACATCTTTCTGATCTTCTAGCGTGAAAAAAAGAAAGTCTGCTCTGTGGAGAAGAGTAATGCAGAAAATATCACAGGAACTCTCCTGTTCAGGGCTTATCAGGTTTGTATGATTCATACAACCCACCAGTCCCCACAGCTGTGATAGACAATCAGACATAATTACTTCCGCTGCCCACTTGGGTACGCTAATCAAGGAAGATGGATCAAGTCTGACCCCCACCTACTTCCATCCCTTCCACAGCTTTTAATCAACTTATTAAAAATGTTGAGAGCTGATCACACTATTAAAAAAAAATACGAAAACTGCCATCCTCCATTGCTGACATTGTTGGAAACGTTCACAACACATGGCCTTTTACCAAAGGTTCTGCTTTGTGCTCTCAGTGCCTATATATTACTAAAAAGAATAAGGTCCAACATCTTTCCTAGAGCTAGATACTCCAAGTTCTAAAATACAAAACAAGAACAAAATTAAACCATAATCCACAAACCACCCCAAAACCCCCCAGAAGATGCTAAAAAGATGAAGATGTTTTAGGTTGCAAGCAAAGACTTTACACTCGCTGGCTTGAGAGCTCAAACATTTCAGCTGACTGAAATTGTCATACCATCATGTAATAAGAGAAAATGTCTAACTTATAAACCTTTGAAGCATAGGAGCCCTTTTTCTTCCCAAAGTTACCTCTGAACTGTGGCCTTATCCTCCCCTCTTTCATCCATCTTTACAGCCAAGGCACAACCCTGCCTTCATCCTGACCCAGACATTCTTCTAAACTACATGAACATCTAAACTTTATATTCTTCCTCTGATCTTATCTAATTCAAAGCTTCTAGCTTAATTTGCTTCTAAAAATCAACCATCCTTACCAAACTCTCCCATCTACAAATTAGTCTTCAAAAACTTCCTGCAGTATCTCTGTCCAATCTTTCAAAATGGGCTGCCTATACTTTTCAAACTGACCTTCTCTGGCAAATTGCTCTTCTCCAGGCCCTGTTAAAGCTTCCCATTATCTCAGTGACACAGTTCTCAGTGAGGCTTCTGATACTACTCTCTTATTCTTTTTAGCTGCTCCTTGTATACCAAGCATTGGGTTTTTATTGGCCCAGTAAGGCCATCTTACACCAAAGTAGCAATACGATTTTGTCGTAGTTAGGAGGGGAAAAAGTACTACATAAACCTTAAAGGTCCTTTACAGCCCTGTCCTAAGAGGCTATACCTCCTCAGACCACAGACTGAGGCAGCTATACTTGCAGACACTTGGAGTGGAGACGCTTCCTTCTTGGCCCACAACTACAAGCCAGAGAACTCCTCAGGCCTTGCTCACCTGTCCTTTAAGACAGGCAAAATCCTAGCTCCTGGATTTGAAATACTTCTCATAAAAGGGAGAAAGTCTGCTGAGGGAAAAGGCTGTGTCAATATGCAGAAGATGACAAAGTCATGAATGCAGAGAGATTAGGTTATGGGCCAATACTTGTTTCCTAGTGATAAGGTTAAGAATAATTAAGACAGTGACCTATTTGTGGATGCAGAAATAAAAATCCTGCACGAATTTAAGCAGTTTTTACATCTTACTAAGCAGGGCCAAGCTCATCATTCAATCAGTCCAAAACACAGCTACCTTTTAAAACCCACCATGCCTTTTTGCTTCATTTGAACTGAAGGAAACCGGCACCAGGTGAGAAGAGACAGCGCACCTACAGCATCACCCACTCTTCCAAAGCCCTCCTTCGGCTCTGCAGGTCTCCTTCGCGAGGCTGGAGGGGAGCCCTTCCGGCAGGGCTGCAGGCAGCCCGCCTGCTTTTGCCTTTAAGCAAGGAGCGGCGGCAGGCGCCCCTCTCCCCTCGTCTTCCCTTCCTCCCGCTCCGCCGCCGCGGGCCTCCCTGGCCTGCTCGGCTGGGCCGCCGGGCCGCACCGGGGCGCTGGCGGCCTCTCCTCCCGTGACCCGACCCCGGGGCCCCGCGGCCGGCACCGTGCCCGGCGCTTCCCGAGCGCAGGCGCTGCGGGAGGGCAGGGGAGCGCGGGCAGTGTGGGAGGCCGTGTGCTCTCCGCTGGAGGGAGAGAGCCACGGGAGCCGCACCTGAATGTCCAGGGAGAAGGGTGCAGTAAATCATCCGCCTGACACACAGCTAGCAGGGTCTGTCGGAGTGAGTTACGGATGTGCCCCGTTGTATGGAGATACTAAGAGGCTACCGGGGCGATTCCAGCTCTAACTTTAGATTTCATCTGTTCTTATCTCCGGTTCTGATAGAGTGATTCTTAACATGGTTTTGATGGAACCGGGCTCCATTAGAAGGAAATGTTTTTTCCTTTGTGTTAAAAAAGCACCATTAAAAAAAAAAACAAACAAACAAAAAAAAAACCACCAACAAACCAACAACTCCCCTGGAAACATGCAACGTCAGTTGTATTACTATTTCTGCTCCTTTAAATGCTGGATCACTAAAAATTAAATGACTAAAGCAGAATTTCAAGCAGGCCTTTAGCTACCACACTGTAGAAACTGAGTAATGCCAGCTTTTGGGTAAATTAACACAACTGGGGGGGGGATGGGACACACACCCGGACAGGGACATGACGACAAACCCAACCAGCCTGGGAGAACTGATCAATGCCATCTCAAAAATAACTCAAGCTGGTTGGTAGTTTATTTGCGTGTCTCAATTTGTGCCTTACCATGTGCTCAAAGATGTTTAGCAGCCAACTTTTTCCTTTTTCCTAATTAAAACTAGAACATGAGTAGCAATGTTTTAAAGAAAATGACATAGTAGAACAGCATGTTCACCTGCACTTTTAAAATCTCCCCACAAACTCTACTAGATTCTTGGTGAACCAGGGCCCTTATCTGTCTCTTAACACCTCCCCACCTCACAAGCGACCCTAGTCCAGTATCATGTAAGATCTGCCAATGGACCTTAGCAGCAGCTTTCACTTGGGCCATTTTCATGTGGGTTTAGCTGTGGAACTACTTGTTATTAACACAGAAGTTGTGAATTAACACAAAGATGAGAATGAGACTCTAGAGGGGTTATGAATTTCACCTGCTCATCTCAAACCAGTCAAATGTGTAAATGCTAATGCTGTTAACCATCCAACTGCCAAAAAAAAAGTTTTTTGGAACTGCAATTTCTATCCCAAACCTGTCTTCACAAGGTATTCAGGAATGTTACTACCCATCGGGAAAGTGTGGAGAGCCAAAATGCACATGCTCCATAGCAGCATCAGAAAAATAATTAGACACAAAAATTAGGATGCAGATACTGTGGTTTAAAAAGTTGCTGCTCATCAGCTGAGCTTCTCTAACTGATCGTGCGCACCCTCTTAGACCGATAAAATGGCAAGTACAATTGTGTTAGACTAAAATACCTTTGTTTCACTTGAAATATGCCAGAGATAAGAAAAGCATGCAGTGAGCTACCTCATTATGCCATTGTAACTCAATAGCCTGAAATAGTCAGTACAGTCCTAAAACAGTGGGGTTTCAAAGTTCTGAACAGGAGGATCCATACTGGAAATAAAGGAATCACTCCAAATACGCCAACACATGCTGGATTCAACAGCCAAGTTTTCAGTTGTCACTATTAACCTTTCTTAATTATACCAATTTTATTATCTTTTTGATGGCCATTTACTGTGCATCTAGAAAATTGCTACTTTTACCACTGCGAACAGGGAGTGATTTCCTCAGGTCTGCACCCTCTACTTGTTCATCTCATTTTATTAAATTGGTCATAGCAATAGCACCACTGATACAGTCAACATTTGAATGTGAGAAGCACCAGAGTACACAAATACAGAAAAACTGGTTCAGAAAATGGGTCTTTTTGTAGTCTCACCTCTAGGAAAGAATTCAGAATTGTGTTAGGCTGCTGAATTCCCTATACAGCTTGTGACTGGAGGTGCATGAGAACCATATCTGTGATGAAACCACACACTGAGCAGCTGACTAGGGCTAGTAGAAAATGGTAGAACAAGGTTATCTAGCTGACATAGCCAAATACCAGGTAATACAGACATACTTTATAAAGCGTATGTTGTAAGCTGGAAAGAGTTCCTTCGAGAAAGAAACTGAACTTGGCTCACCTTTATCCTAGAGTTCGCTAACCAGTAGCCCACAGTATGAAAGGCTGTGTGCCACCAACTCTTCTTATAGCTTCAATCCTTCTCCTCTGCTCCTTTGTTCTGGAAGAAAACAGCAGCAAACAATGCCTTTTCTGAGCAGGCCTATCACGTACCACTGCCTTTATCAGTGGAGGCTGGTAGACATGTTCCTTGATTCAGATCAGGCTGAACTACACTCACTGGTCAAACTATGGTTCAGTCTCAGTTTGAAGCTAGAAAGCTTCTAACTGAAAGCTAACTTTAGGTGCTTCCAGAGCTGAATAGCAGCTGAGGCTTTTTTCCCTAATTGCAATCTTACATGTAGGTAAGGTTAGGTTGGGAGGGAAAGAAGCTGAGCAGATTTGATTGGTTGGGTGTTTTGTGGTTTGGTTTGTTGTTTGTTTTTTTTTTTTTGGAACAGCTGTTGAAGACTAGTCCCTGAATACGGTTTGGGCAGATAGAAGTGTGGGCAATTCACTATATCTTTCCCACTACCACTTTCAACAGTTCAGTTTATTTCTGAAGAAGAGGAGGACCTTCCCTGGGTGTTTGATGGAAATATCTTGAAAAGATACAGAACAAAGGCTAAAGAGCTAAAATAACAGGGTTGTGCTGTTAGTCTTCAGATACCTTCTTGTCAGTCTGTCTCAGATTGTATCTTCAGTGGAGGGAAGTTGTCCTGGTCACCAAGCTCCCTGCCTCTCCATGTATCAGAGTTTCCTTCCAAAGGAAGCCAGGCAGGCCAGAAGACAATGCATACCAGTTGTCATTTCAACACAGATCCAGGTGGCAATCTTGCTTACCCAGTAACCAAGACTTACATATACAGCTGATCAAAGTATTATTTTCCTTTTCTTTTGTGGAACACCTCAGCATTTTTGTTTGTTTTGGTTTTTTTTTTCTTGCAGGAGTGGGTGATGGAGAAAAAGGTGGAGCAAATCCTGATGTTGAAATCCTACCAAATACCTTCTTGTTCTGCTTTAGAGGATGGCCCCACTAGCTGGTACATATATAACTTGGTTTGGGGTATTCAGCTGGTCAGCTAAGTCAACACTGCTAGAGAAAACTGACTTGTGATAAATAAACAATCATCTACATGCTTTTCCCAAACAGTATTATTTTCCAAATAAAAACCAGCTTTTCCTTAGACTTCCTTCAGTTGTCCTGATGAAGCCGCCAGTGCTTTGAACCTGTTTTCTAGGCCCATATATCTTACTGGCTACTGCAGCTCCCTGGAGACCAGTTAGACTGGAAACAGAAGAGAGTTGTTCTGGTAAAAAAACCAAACCAATAAACCCAAAAAACCCAAACCTCCTCAAGAAATACTCTAAACAGAAACGGCTATCACATCCACATGAGATAAGAATGCTTGTATTATTGACACAGTACTGGCATCTTACAGAAAACCCCTTATTCTGCTACAAGAAGTTACTTTCTTTTTAATCAGATTTTTCTGTTGCACCTGAGTACATATCCACAAATATTTTATGCAGTCATTTAATGCACTGAAGTCAGCAAGCAGAGCCTAAGGGCCTGAAGAGGAAAGAACTCACCATTCATTCACTTGAATGGTCCTTCCATGCATCCATCCTCATCAGCCAAATCCTACTTGTTAAGCCACACATTTTAAAAGTAAGTAGTACAGGGATTTATGAGCCCTGCTTCCCATGCTGAAAAGCTGGGAGAGGGCAGGAACCAGCTTCTATCAATGACAAAAAAAAAAAGAACCCCAGAAGTAAACTGTTCAGCTCTCAGCAGCAGCACAACTGTTGCACGTTTGCCATAATTAGCAATTACAGTGAAATCCTGGTCCCAAGTCAGTCAATGACAAAACCCTCACTTATCTGCTCATAGCTGGGGTTTTGCTTATAGAGGCTGATAATTCTAGCAAAGTGTTCCAAGGCTTGAGCCACTTTACTGTTCCCAACTGCTCTTTCCATCTCTTTGCCAGAAGTCAATTTTCCCACAGCAGAGTCAGCAGAATTAATCATATACCTTTGCCTTAGCCTCTGTATTTTGCAGTCCAGGTGTTAAGACATAGTCAGGCAAATTCAGCTAGCTGCTCCTGATCCAAATTAAGTGCTTACTGATCCATTTCTGATGCCCTGGCAATCCCTCCTCCTGCTTCTGTTGATTTCACTTTCTACCTTACCATTTTCCAGTTCAGATTTGCAACCTTATTGTTTTAGGGGCTTTATTTTAAGAAACACAAAACATAGGGTGATATATTAAACTTCTGCCAGGGACTATGCTGTGTAGATAGCAGCCTGTACCAAAGGAACCCAGGTAAGCTCTCAGAGTGGTGTGTCATCTCACAGTTCTCCCCTCCCAAACCAATTACAGCTAATTCAGCCACTTCATTGTTGCCAAAGTTTCAGACATGCAGTAGTGTCAGGTTTTATTTCAAAGCTTTTTGAAATTAGTGGAAGATTCCAGCCTTGGAGAGTTTTAGGCAGTAGATAGTAAATGCAAAGTCTGCTGGTCTTCACTATGATAGAGAGATCCATTTAACATAACCTAGATTTCTAGGTTACCTATTGTCAAAAGAGAGAGTTAAACAGTACCAGCTGGCAACTGTTCCCATCCTATGGAAGGTAGGATGAATTTCTCTGGAGAAGACTTGCTCTCTCCATGGACTGCATAGGGAACTGAAAGACTGGTTCAGCCCAAAATGTCAAATTTGTAGATACTCCATCAGTCATTTAACTGAAAGAAAAGCCATTTAACTAGCAGGAGAGTTGTGTCCTAAGCCATCACACATAATCTGACACAGCATAGTCACTTGGCATGGTTTGACATTCAGTGGCAGTACAGTTTGAGCAAATGTAAGCAATTGCCACCCACCTTGTCTATCATTCCTCCTTTTCTTCACCATGCTAGCAAAAGCATTTGTGTAGCACACAGTGAACAAGACTGGACAAAAGATGTTGCTAAAATTAACTCAGAAAAACAAAAACCCAGTCACTCATCATTCAGATGGCTTCCCCAAAGACCCCACAGACTGCACCTCTAAAGTAGAAAACAAGGGTTGCCTATGACTGAATTGACCATTAAAGCCATGCCGGGTAAGACCACACACTTTGCCTGCAGTCCCCGTAGGCTGTTGTACACTGTGAAGCATTTCACTCTACTCTCTTTCTCCATGCAGATGCCCATCTCTTAAGAAAATACTAACACACTCCCTACCTTACTAGACTGCTGTGACCTTAAGTGTATTACATATCATGAGCTGTTAAGGTATTGCATAAGTTCTCTAAGTATGCACACAAGAAGAGCAACAGTATCAGAAGCCCACCTGCTAGTGTGTCTTTGTATACCAAATCTGTCCCTTCCGATTGCTCAGCACACAAGTCAAGTTACACAAAGGTCTATTTGCCCACCTGCAGTTTATCAGAATTAACAGTTTCTGTGTTTGATAGTAACACTTTGGAAGGCTTCTGTCACAGATCAGACCTCTATGAGGAACACACCAGACCCACCACAACCAAGATGGCAACACTATAGAAATTTCATCTGCCAGATCCAGTAGGTTTTTCAGGACTGATGAATCCTAGTAAACACTCAGTGAAACAACCAGTTTCCTCAGATAAGGAGGAAAGGTTGCGAATATCCTGCTACAATGACCTGAGCAATTATACTTTCAGGTAAAATATTGTTTCTAGCCCGGCCCTGGAGGTTGGTACTACTGAGGTTTGGGTTTTCTCAGGCCAGATAAAAAGCATGCCTTTTCCCTTTCCCTTTCCCTTCCCATTCCCCCCCACCCCCCCCCACCCCCACCCCCCTCAGATTGCAGTTAGGTAACTTTTTTTTTTTTATCAGAATAAATCTGTCACTGTTTCTTGCTGAAAGACTCTCTTCTCACTGCAGCTACACTTCCTGCATTGCTGGACTAGCAGGCTGCTTCCACCTCTGACAAGGATCAGAAAACAGCCCTACCCATGAATTCCCAGATTATAAGTGAGATTATATTATAAAAGAAAAAACAAACCCAAACCAACTAAAATGTTTTACAGGATGATGACTGGGACACAACTATAGCAACCTTCTCTGAGGCCCTGACACTTTATGAGCCAAGGCTTACTTTGGCTGTGATAAGCCTTCTGACAGAAAGGACCCACTAGTGCCACAAGTGTTGCTGCCCCAGAAGTTCTGCTCTGATCTGTATCTTGCTGCCTCATTTGCACAGCCACACACCTCACCCTCTACTGTAACCTGTTACACCACCTTTCTTCAGCAGATTCATAACACACAAGCTATTCTACTCAGTCTTGCTCTACCAATGAAAGCAGTTTACATCTTGCATCAGACTCTTATAGTAAAAGACAACTTCTGCTCCCTCATCCACCCCCATGGGGTGATGGATGAAAAAGGTCTAGGTCAGCAGTTTCCAAACTGGAAGATCACACATCAGCTGAATGAGCTTGGAGGAGTAGGAATGTGAAGAGTAGGATGTTCTGCATCCATCATACAGCATCCCCCATTTATGGATTCTGTGAATTCAGCTTACCACCTAAACACATTTCTGAAAGCTGCTTTAGGAACCCTCTCTGCAAATTAAAATGATACCTATCATTAGTAATGGAGCTGAAAATAACAGAGGAGAAATTAAAGAGGAAAACATTTCCAGTATTTACATACTATAAATACTTTGCCTGTTCTTTTCTCTCTCATTTGAGTTACTAACTGTTTTGTGTAGATTATTTGGCAAAAAATCTAGCAATACCTATACACCTTTCCCTGCTCTGATAACTGAAACAAGTTGGAGGCCTTAGTGTTCTGCTAAGCAACATTCTTCACACTTTGGTGCAAAGCGTATTTAGAGGAAATGTAAATAAGCTAATCAATACTTTATACCTCAGTTAAATTATCACAAGCCAAAATGTGGTTCTAATTCTCTTTCTCTTTAGCTTGCTCCCAATTAGTGAAGAAGTTAAAGCAGAGGAGAAAAAGCTTTGAGTTTTAAGGGGTAGCCCATTAAAAAATGGTTTACACTTTTTACCCTTCTTTATAATGAAAGTTTAAAAAACAGAAAGTGGAACTTGGTTTTTTGCCACAATCTTTGGATGGTATTTTGAATTGTTTAATTAATATACTGCGCAAACCAGTGTAAATCAGACTGACTTAATCTGTTTTTCAGTGGCTAAAGTAATGAAAAAAAATGTAATGGTAAAGAAAATGAAGGTTGAGATTAAAGAACTCTACGGTTAATGACAGGCTGAAGTTCAACTGTCATGTAATCGAAAATGTTTGAGAATGGACAATAATTAAAGTCAAGCAAAGAATGAAGCCCAGATTATTATAATGAGATATGATATGTTCTTCAGACTATTTGGAGGTTAATGTTACTTGGTTTCATATGGTTACGGGTAAGTAAGTACTGTAGCACTATATAGTAAAAATAATGTAACTGGATACAGTCTGCTTCACAGTGACCCAAGGTTAATGGTAGTTGCTCTTAGTATATTTAAAAGGTTTAAAAGAGATGTAACAACCTCAGCATTACAAATCTAGTGCAACGGCACTAGAAAACGGCACCAAGCAGGCTAGCATAATACTGGTATTCTTGGTTCCATGAAAGCAGCTTCCAGTGTAATGTATGTTGGCTTTTATCTGTATAATTATACTGAATATGTTCATGAATTCTTTCATTCCTGAATGGTACCACTTTTTCAGTAATAGATCACTGGTATGCATCACTCTGATAAGGTATTGCACTAATATATCATTAAAGCAACAGATGTATTAGTGTAATACATCACTGGGACAAAGGACTCTGATGATGATGTATTCCTGAAAAGATGGCACCATATAGAGAAGACGAGGCCCAGGAGAAGACTTTTCCTCAGTTTAATAGAATAAAAGGTATGCCTTCCTGGCACAAAAATATGATGCTTGCTATAAAAGTACGGCATCACTATTAATTGTATTCCCATTTGTATTGGTAATTTGAGGATCATATGGCTTGGAGACAATTTATTGTGGTTAAAGAAAAGATACAATTTAAAAACAGACACAGTCTTCCCATAATGTCTTATCTTCTCAGCCCTTCAAAGGCCTGGTAAAAAACTTCACTGTGTTGAAAGCTTCAAGATGCCTATCCTGTGTTGGAGCAATGAGGCTATGGGAATAGTTCACAGAGGCTGGTAATGACATGGCTTTGCAGAGTTTGCCCGAGGAATGGGGCTCAGATATACAAACAGGCAGAGGCTGGGGAAATCCACTAACATTGTCTTCAGAGGCTCTTGCTGACTCACTGCTTCTGAGAGCAGGGATTATACCACAGCCCCTGTGCCAGCCAGCAGAGAAGTTGTATTGAAATAGTCAGAGAGCCACATGCAGCTCCAGAGGCACAGACTGACCAGTTCTGTTCCAACCTCTATGCAACAGCCTGCTTCAGGACTTCCCACGGCCAATCAATTGCATCCAAGCTTATGTAAAACCAAGGTGCTTTTTTGGGGTGATTCAAATAAAAGAATACATACTTTGAAAAAGGGCTCAGGAAGCTGATAACAGCAGTCTAGTCAGTAGCATGTACAAAAAACCTCTCTGTATTCCAGCAATCCCAGGTTATCTCACTTACCAGGATGTGTATCTGGGCAGGCAGGTCAGGGATATGCTCCCTGGCTCTTGTTATTTCAAAGGAATT